ACCAAATTGATTTCATACATGACGCTGTCATTTCGAATCGATCGGCTTATCGAAGTAATCCAAATGAGACAAATGAGTTTCAGAGGCAAGTTGAGGAATTGATGAGCAAATGATATGTACAGAAAAGCATGAGTCCATGTGCAGTACCTGTGTTGCTGGTGCCAAAGAAAGATGAAATTTGGAGAATGTGCGTAGATTGCAGAGCCATTAACAATATTACGATAAAGTATCGTCACCCAATTCCTAGGCTAGATGAACTACATGGTGGCTATATTTTTAGTAAAATTGATCTTAAAAGTGGATATCATCAAATTCGTATGAGGGAGGGTGACGAATGAAAAACAACTTTTAAAACTAAATATGGATTGTATGAATGGTTAGTCATGCCGTTTGGACTCACAAATGCACCAAGCACTTTTATGCTATTAATGAACCATGTTTTGCGTGCTTTCATTGGAAAATTTGTTGTAGTTTATTTTGACGACATTTAATCTATAGCAAGAATCTTCATGAGCATGTAGGACACCTAAAATGTGTGCTTGTGATTTTAAGAGAGGAACAACTTTATGCCAATTTTAAGAATTTTACTTTTTGCATAGATAGAGTTGTGTTTCTGGGCTTTGTGGTTAGTGCTAATGGTGTAAAGTTAGATGAAGAGAAAATAAAAGCTATTAAAGATTGGCTGACACCTAAAAACATAATCGAGGTTAGGAGTTTTTATGGATTGGCTAGTTTTTACAGGCGTTTTGTCAGTGATTTTAGCACAATCACCACACCACTAACTGAGATTCTCAAGAAAAATGTGGGGTTTCAATGGAGGGTAGAACAAGAACATGGATTCACCATTATCAAAGATTGTTTGTGTAAAGTACTGATTTTAGCATTTCCTAACTTTAACAAAACTTTCGAGATTGAGTGTGATGTATCAGGAATAGGTATTGGAGCAGTCTTAATGTATGATAAGAGACTTATAGTCTATTTTAGTGAAAAGTTAAGTGGTGCAGCTCTCAACTATCCTACGTATGACAAGGAGCTCTATTCACTTGTTCGAGCCTTAGAGACATGACAACATTACCTGTGGCCAAAAGAGTTTGTAATTCATTCTGATCATGAATCACTTAAACATTTGCGGGGTCAAGGTAAGTTAAACAAACGACATGCACGCTGGATGGAATTCATAGAAATTTTTCCATATGTCATTCACAAACAAGGTAAGGAAAATGTAGTAGCAGATGCATTGTCACGAATGCATGTGCTTTTAACTACTTTAAGTGCAAAATTGTTTGGTTTTGAGTACATTAAGGACATGTATGTTAATGATTCTGAATTTTCCAACATTTACAATTCATGTGATATGGGAGCTGTAGATAAGTTCTTTAAGTATGAGGGGTACTTGTTTTGGAAAAACAAATTATGTGTTTCCAATTGCTCTATGAGTGAATTATTGGTTAGAGAAGCACATAGTGGTGGTCTAATGGGTCACTTTGGGGTAGTAAAGACTTTAGAAATATTAACTGAGCATTTTTATTGGCCTAAAATGAAAGTTAATGTGGAATGAATTTGTAGTCGATTCATAACTTGTAAACAGGCTAAATCTAGGGTCTTACCTCATGGGCTTTATACACCTCTACTAGTACCTAGTGAACCTTGGGTAGACATCTCAATGAATTTTGCGTTAGATTTGCCTAGGACTAAAAAGGGACGGGATTCGATTTTTGTAGTGGTGGATAGGTTTAGTAAGATGGCACATTTCATTCCATGTCACAAAACTGATGACGCCACTAACATTGTAGATTTGTTCTTTAAAGAAATTGTGCGCTTACATGGACTACCTAAAAGTATTGTGTCAGATAGGGATGTCAAATTTCTTAGTCATTTTTGGAGGGTTTTGTGGAATAAGTTAGGCACGAAGTTACTATTTTCTACAACTTGTCATCCACAAATCGATGGACAAATTGAAGTAGTGAATAGGACCATAACACAACTATTATGCACTGTAGTTAATAAGAATTTGAAGAATGGGGAAGAGTACTTACCTTTCATAGAGTTTGCATATAATAGGGTCACACACTCCACTACATCGTTTTCTCCACTTGAAATTGTTTATGGTTTTAATCCTATATCACCTATGGATTTAATTCCTTTATCTGTGAATGAACGAGATAGCTTGGATGGGAAGAGGAAGGTTGAGCTGGTGAAGTCACTCCATTAAAAGGTACGGGAGCAAATTGAGAAGAAGAGTAAGCACTATGCAGAGCAAGCGAATGAGGGCATGAAGATTGTTACATTTGAACCAGGAGATTGGGTTTGGGTGTATTTTAGGAAAGAGCGATTTTCAGAACAAAGAAAATCAAAGTTGTTGCCATGGGGAGATGGGCCATTTCAAGTCATTGAAAGGATCAACGACAATGCATGTAAGTTGGACCTACCAGGTGAGTATAATGTTTAGCAACTTTTAATGTGTCTGATCTCTCTCTCTCTCTCTCTCTCTCTCTCTCTTTGATGTAGGTGCAGATTCGAGGACGAATCCTTTTGAAGAGAGAGGGGATGATGTGATTCAAGAATCAAGTTTGAAAACGACGAGTTCGAGATGAGACCTGTTGAAAATTGAAGGCGGACCGATGACGCGATCAAGGGCAAAGCAAGTCAAACAAGCAATGAGATTTTTCGTTCAAGAAACCATTGATGGAACAATGTTCGAGACGCAAAACGAGACAAGTTATGTTCGGGTCAAGAACCGAATCAAATTGGATCAACTCAATACAAGCCGACGAAAATGGAGGCAAACTGGTCTACCATGCGACCGCATAATAGAATGGGGCTTGCGATCCCATACGGTGTGGCAAGGCCAATACGGTCAAAGTTCAAGTGAACTATCTGACCGCATAGGTTTACAATATACGATCGCATAGTGTTATTTCGAGGACAAAATTTCCTTTTCCGCATTTTTTTCTATATTTTGTTAGAATTTTATTCATAGTCAAATTCTAATGATATTGAATGGTTATTTTCGAGATTCTACTAGATTATTAATATTTTATTTCTTTTTGGATTTTATTTCAGGATTTAGTTAGTATAAATAGAAGTTTATTTCTTCATTGTAAAGGACCTTTGACATATTAATTAATTTGAAAGGTTTTAATTGCTTTCTCTTTGTTCTTCCAATTGAACATTTAATTGCTTTCTCTTTGTTCTTCTAATTGAACAACTTTCAAACTTATCAAGATCTAATTCTTGTGGCATTCAAATCAACCGGGTGAGATTCCATAATTTTTCGTAATCAAGAGGTCCGCACTTCGTCGACGATTCGAGTTGCTTGGTTCCAGATTTATCGGATTCGAATTCAAAACCTTGTTTTGGCTTTCTTGGGAAGATTTCTATCTTGTTCGTGGGTTCTGTAGCGTTTACGCGGGTTCACATCAGAAAGGGTGGACTAAAGAGGAAAAGAAAGGGATTGCTGCAAGTAATGAAAAAGTGACTTGTCAATAATAGCAAATGATGAGAAATCTTCCAAATCATTACGCCTTAGTGACTTGATGCACGAAGGAAATAATGTCTATAATGTTGCCTCAATGACAATTTTGGGAACAAAGATTGTCAAGGAAAAGTTAGTGGAAGCAATGAAATTACTTGAAAAGGATGAGGAAACTATCAACGTGCTTCAAAAGTTTAGAAGAGACAATGCTCATTTTACTTGTGATGCTCCTGCGGATAAGCCAAGAATATTAAATCCACCAATTGTGAAAGCCAAATGAATAACAAATGCAAGATTAAAAAGCACTTTGGAGAAAAGAAAAAGGAAGGCAAAGAAAGATAATAAATATGATAATTTAATTTTTTTTATTACAATTATTACCCTTATTCAATTCTTAAGTAATATATGTTTTTTTTTTTTGGTCACTTATGATTATTACATTTGACTTGTAGTTGGAGAAGACAATCATAAAAAAAAGGGTGACACACCAAACCCAACATTTTCGCCTACGTTGACTGCCTTTACCTCGTTTATTCAATAACTTAGCTCCCAGACATTCAAATTTTCACTTTTCAAGCATGCTTCAAACCCACAACAACATGCATTACTTGACTAGGTAATTATTATTATTATTATTATTATTATTATTATTATCTATCAATGAATTATTTTTATGTAGGATCCAAGTTATTATAATTTTGATGATCTACAGAGAAACGATTAGTGACTACATAGTGAAAGTTTTGATATGAGACTGGTATGAGCTTTATTAAATAAAATGCATTTGATGACATTATAAGTTTTGTGCCAATGAATTTGATTTGTAAATTTGATTTATTTGTTTGTTTATGCTTTTAAGGTGATTGAAGTATGATATTTTGTAGTTGAAGTTATTGTAGAAGATAAAGAGGGGTTTATGGTGTAATTATTTTGCTAAATTTCCACACATAAAAAATTGAGATGGATTATGATGATTTTTAGACAATATTAAATATTGTCTTCTTTGATTAAAGTGTTTTTACTTTGACATTATTGCATACTAAAAGCATTATTACTAGTTTGTTATTTGTTAAGAACTGTTGCAATATATGTTCTAATTTGACTTGAAATTATATTTAAGACAACTTTGCTTATTCATTTTAAAAGGGATTTCTAGTCACTTTTGAAAAAAATAAAATAAAAAAGGAAAAATATTTAAAAACAAAAGAATGTAAAACAAACAAACTAATACAAAAGGAGAGAGAAAGAGTGAAAGACACGACTGTGGGAACGTCAAAAAGTTGGAGCCAACATACTTTTCAATTAAAAAATGCACAATTGACAAAGTTTGTAAGAAAAATGCTAGATGTACATATTTTATCTCACAGAATGCCTACAAAATTTCCAAAAAATAATGATGTGGCAGGAGAAAAGAAAAAAGCTAGATGTACAGATTTTATCTCACAGAATGCCTACAGAATTTCCAAAAAATAATGATGTGGCAGGAGAAAAAGAGGGAAATCTTTGTTGGGCAACTTACCCTGAAGCTTCATCAAGAAGAACCCGACTGGAAAATGAACCCATTTCAAATCCCAAAAAATCCAAGCTCAAATTATGGTAGGCTCGAATCAATTGAGCTTGAAGCTTCATCAAGAAGAACCTAATTGGAAAATGAACCCACTTCAAATCCCAAAATTTCCAAGCTCAAATTCCAGTTAATCATTGCAGCCACTCTCATAGTCTTCTTTACAGTTTCTGCTGCACTCATAATGGGGCTCCAACCAGAGCAAATTTCGGGTCAATGCACCGGAGCCAAGCCATAACCAAGACCTACAGCCGGACTCGCTATCCCGTTCTATGTCAACACACTCATGAACTTCCACGTCTTAAATAGATTCCAACTCAACCAATCGGCCATCTCAAGTCCCACCACCGCGACCTCCGCCAAATCCAGTAGCAAGTCCATCCCAACCACCAGCATTGCCATATCTACCACCGGCACTACCATCGGCTGTACCTCCACCGCCATTGGTTTCAGCCCAACACTTCCACTGACTATGGGAGTTTTTTGGAGTCGAGGGTTTTGATTTGGAGCTGTGAGGTTTTGAGCGTATTTAATACGTGATTAAATGTTTCAATTAATTTGAAGAGTACTATTCAAAATTCTCATTTTTAGGGGGTATTTGGCCTAATTTTCCCATCTTTGTTTTACCTCATAACCTGCCAAAGCCGATTTCATTATCCCCAAAAGGTGGAAGCCCTAAAGAAAAATAGGGAAAAATAAGCTGCTCCACTTCATCTCCGACCTCACGAGCATCAGAGCTGAGCATCGGCTGTTCGAGCGACCGACATTCTCTTCTCCAACCACTCTAGCAGTTGATTCCATTTCCCAACCAAGCAGCTTCACTCTCTTCTCCAGCCCACTCGAGTTGTCAGACACACACAAGGTAATGTGTAGGCATCCCTTTCCCAACTGAGCAGCTTCACTTTCTTCGATTTTTCTTGTGCAACTTTGGAGCATAATGTGTAGGCATCCCCAATCAAATAAAAAAAATTTGTAGTATCCATTTACGCAGTTTAAGCAACAAAGAATTAATAGCAACCAAAATTTTAGTATCCATCTACAAGTTAATGACTGTTAGTAAGTTTTTTCATATTACAAGTGTCAAAATGGTTGACTGGACTCCACAATTTGAGAGAAATAGCAGAAAAATGATAAAATACAGCAAGTTAATGACTGTTAGAAAGTTTTTTTCACAATTTGGGATCCACTGCTTCATTCCTTGTATTTGATTCACCACATGATTCTTCCGTCTTGGCCCAAGGGAAATATAACAAATTTTACTGCAAGTTTTGAATAATCGCCCTTCGTTATTAGTCTTCCTCTCAACTTCAAAACATTTCTCCCATCCAGTAGACACCATGGACATCCTCGTTTTATTGGATAGTCATTGAAAAAGTGCTCTGTGCTTCTACAATCATGACAAACACCAACATTCTCTCGTCTCATCTTATACGGGAATCAAATGAAACCGTAAGATTGCCATTCTACTAATTTCCCACAGCAATTTACAAAGAAAAGTGAATTACACTAGTTTCTCATAACAATTACATATTCAACAAGTTTCAAAACGTTTTTCATAATTTACAGAGAATAAGGAATTTGTTTGATTCTCACAACAATTGCATATTAAACAAGCTACAAATCGTCCTTCAAAACTTTTTTCACCATTTTTCACAAGTTTCACAACTTATAGCTGGGATAGAGACTTACCTTTTTCGTAATTTTCACAACTTCCTTTTTCACAAAGTTTCACAGAGAATATTGTTGCTGTGGACTGAGTTTATCGTCGACGGTGGAAATCAGTTGGTGTTCGTGGACGAAGGTGAAGATACCTGGTTGTTGTAGACTGAGTTGACAAATAATGCGGCGTTTGTGGACGTTGGTGAAGATGAACGACCCGATTTCAGTGTGCGTTCGGTGTTTGAAGATCTGGCCACATTTAAAATCGCCGGTCAGAAGTTGAGAAGGATGGTGGCGCCAGTTAGAGGTTGAAGGAAAGGTGATTCTAGGGTTCCCAATTTCAAGTGGAGAGGCTGACGGGAATGAAATGAAGGAAATCATTGGAGACGTTTGCTTTGTCCTTTTTTTTTTTTTTTTTTTTTCCTTTTTTAATTCTCAGCTGACACGTCATTCTCTGAAGACTCTGTAAAGAATGCTTTTGTACGTCTAGTAGCACTGAGTTTGTAAACATGTCAACTCACGATGGGGTGGGCATACCACATGGGATGGTATGCCCGCCCCACACAAGATTTTCTCCTATCCAGCACATAAGAGCACATAAGTGAAAATTTCTAAAGAAACCCAGTTATACCAATAAATCTGATATTTTTCTGCTTCTTCTAGTTTAAGAAGCGCAGGAATCGTCTCATTCACAATCTGAACCAGACAAACCACTTATTACCACTTTATTATCAATAGACTTTTAAGTTTCCTTAACAAGAAGCTAAAATTTGATGAAATATTACCTAAAAAGGTTTTCTATTAAGGCAACATGAAACCAGGATTCAAGAATAAAAAGGGCTTAAGAACACGAATTTAGCTTCAAATCATAATCCGGACACAGAAAATATCGAGATGGATTTCCAGGAAGCCAAGCAATAAGAGTGATATACATATCTGAGCCCCCCCCCCCCCCTACAACCCCCTGATCTAAGCCACCACGTAAAGAAGAAAAAACAAGGTTGCATTTGAAAGACTATGTAGGAGTCAAAGAAGCCTATGTATAGTGTTGGGCAAAAACAAATCCATCCAAGAACCTATACAAGATAGCATATGTTCCCAGAACGGAAACTGGTTTGTAGCGTTTCAAAGATTTAGTACAAAGAAAATTAGTTAGGCTATGTTTAAGCTTGATTTTAGAGGTAAACTTCTGATTGCCAAAGAATTAAAAGTTACATTAGTTGTTTGGTGAACTTTAAAAAAAAAAAAAGAGAGTATACAAGAATCTGAAAGATATTTAAAATGAGAGAAACATTTGGCTTGGCAAGACACCAGAGCCTTTGCATTGATATGAGAATTCATACAAGCAAAGTAAAGCACAAAAGTAGATTTACATGGAACTGATCATACAAAATCTACTAATCTACATCTAAGAGGAAATAACAATGTTAAGTACAGATTTTTCTACAGAATTGGTACATAAAAACAGTTGTATTCCTGTAATCAAAGAGAGACAGCTGTCTATCTGTACCAATTCTGTTAAAAAAATCTGTGAGTAAATTACAAGTTTATAAATTGCGAGCCAAGAATATCAAAACTGCCAACAAAATTTTTGGGTAGAAATTCAGCAAAGATGTTACTCCCACAACTATTTAAAGGAGTGATGTGTCTAACTGTATCCATAACATCTGGCTTCAAAGTTTGAGAGGCAGTAAAAATGATTGATTTCACTGATCTATTATTAAAAATAACAATTTTAAGCCTAAATGATTAAAATAATTCATTTTTTATCCTTGGTTTACTAGTATTCTAACAAAAAACATTTTTCATTCCTCATCCCATGTGAAAGATACATTTATTTGATTTTTTTAATTTTTAATTTTTTGTTATATGTTAAAGTTAAAAAAAATTGAGAACAACATTAATGCAAGTCTAATGCATTAAAAACTATTTGAATATTTTTTACACCATGGACTAAGTTTTTATTTTTTTTTATCTTTGATATTTAATAGATGTTAAATTTTTTAATTAAAATAATTATAGTGAATATATTGTTTTAGAAAAATAGTTGGCAATATTACAACATATTATAAATTTAAAAATAAATGTCCCAACATTAAATGAATAATACAAAAGAATAAAATTACAATCAATGCCCATTTTAGTAATCTTATACATACATATCAATAAATCATTTTTGTTTACAAAAGCTCAAGTGCTGATTCACTATTTGGCACAATTGCAACTCAATTTTTTAGAAGCGTAACAATACCAAATCATGCCATAATGCTCTTAACATGTTGTGATGTACGGTTAAGATGATTATATCGTAGTTGGATTCCACAAATCCAACAGTGTTAAAAAATACTCACTCCTTCCTTACAAATTTTTAGGTTAGTTCGAATATATTGTCAAGGTATCCCCAAGTCACGAATTGAAAATTAAAAATAGGCTTGACTCTCTTACCTTTTTCCTGTTTATTTGAATTTTGGGGAATTACCATGTATGTTTACCTATCTTTTCCTTTTTCCTTTTTTTTCATGTGAAGGTCATTTCTATCCAAATTATTTTTTATTAAACCTACTTTGGTGTTAATTTTAACTCGACCAAGGGTCATTAGGTTGAATATCGTTGACAGGGTGTACATTAAAAAAAAGAAAAAAAGAAAAAAAGTATGCCTTAAAATCGAGGTTGCAATTAATAATAAAAGTATTTAAGAAATTCGCTCGTTTGGTTTATAAAAAAAAAAAAAAAAAGATTTTTAGTAAATTTTGATAAAAATTAACTGAATGCATGGTTAAAATTACTGACTTTGACTTAAATTTTAATCCAAATTTTAAATTGGACCAGACATGAGCTTTATTGTATTGAGATATTGTAAACTAATGTTGACTGTTGACCTACGGTCTCATACTTAGTGTTCGCAGGAGCTACTTCACTCACATGCCAGCTCGACTTGTGAATGTCAGCTCGATCTCATTGCCGTTGTAATATCAAGAAACATAATGATTGCAGATTTCTTACATCGTGTCACATCATCCCATCAATTACCTACATTTGTTGAAAATGACGTCAGCATCGCTTAAACCCACCAATCAATTGCTTTGGCTCCCCCTATCCTCTGCAGAACATCATTACCTAAAGGGAACACTGATGGCAATGTCACCGGCCTCATCAACCAATTAGAGGAGAGATCGGCGAAGTGTTGCCCGAGCCCAAAACTGCGGCTGATTTGATTGATATGATGGAATTCCGGCTAAAACCTCCTATAAATAGTGGAAAATAGTTTCCTTTGAAAGGGAGAAATGGTTAGTTTGTCAATGGAAAAGCAAACTTATGCAGTTTAATCTCTTGTAATAAAGAAAAAGGTGTTCTCTTTCTTAAAGTTGACTCAATCATAGTCTTTTCTATTTTTGATGTCAACAACTAACAACTTTAAAATTAAAATTACTTTTATCATGAAGACATGAGAAGGATTTTTAGATAGATGCAGTAAATTCTATATTTCTATTGATCAACGCTTGTTGTTAAGGCAAGCTATAAGCTGTTGTTCACCCGAAACCATCTCATAAGACTTCCAACTGTTGAAGACGAGCCCTCGCTCTTAATTCTCTTATTATTGAGACAAGTTAATAAGTCCTCCTATTGTTGAAGTTGTGCCCCAGATCGCAATGTTCTTATTATTAAAGGTGAGTTCATAATTCCTTGCACATCGAGGCTAGATCGTGTTTTTCTTATTATTGAAGGCGAGCTTAAGTCATTGCATATTGAGATTAGCTCATGGTTTGGTTATCATTGAAGGTGAAACCTAACCTGTAATGTTCTTATTATTGAAGTTGAGTCGATAAATCCTCTAGTTCGAATATCAAAGCTTTAACAACATTTTCTTTTGTGCACGCTAAGCTATTGTTGTATGCCCAAGCCGTCTGCTCATCAAAGGCATGTTCTCAGCTTATTTTTAGGCTAACTGTAGATGTCTATGAAGAACCACATTGTGTTCAAAGATTTCTCACCCTCTTGTGCGTGCTGTTAATGCGTCATAACTATATAGAGGGCTTCTGTTGTGCATATAATGCTATATGTGGTAATTTAGTTTTTAGTTGATCATTCTATACATTGATATTCAAATTCGACGTGTATATCTATGCATCAACTATATATATATATAAAGTAAGTTAGTTATCTTGTTCTTAGTGGGCTGGATAAAAATTTCACAACATAATAAGATAATCTTAATTATATTCTATCAAACTCAAAAAATCATAATTAAGATTCTCTTGTCACATCAACAATAAGATGCTTTTATCCTGCACATAGTGAGCAGGATATCAATTTCATAAGACAGTACTCCACAAATCAAGCCTAGATCAATAAGATTCTACTCAATTGTAGGAATTCCTTTCAGTTTAGAATTAAAGTAGTTCAAATTAAGTTTGTATTGTATGAATTCGATCGCTCATAGACTTACTGGGCAAAGTGGTTTCTAGGTAGTAGTTAATTAGAAGCTTAGTAAAACTTGTTAACTTCAAATTTAATTTTGGAAGAGTTGGGTTTCTTAAGATTTAAAGATTCTTATCAATTTCATAAATATGAATAAAATTTCACGAATTAGTAAGACTCTAAAAATTTATGTTTTATATGGATTCATTAAATTTTAATAAATTTTTTTAAGACTATAATAAAATGAAATTACTTCTCAATAGAACACCCAAAAAAAGAAGCAAATAAATAAATAAATAAAAATCTAACTTTGTAGTTAGAAAATAAAATTCATAATATTATCATTTATTAAAAGAAAAAAATTATAATTATGTCATTTAAAATAACTACTTTCATCAATCTAAAAAATCAAGCAAATAAATATCAATAAATTAAATATCTTTTCCATCTGAAAAAATTGAATAAAATTACATTCTATGAAATAAGGAAAGAAAAAAAAAACCCCAGTTCCATTTGAAAATTGAAGAAAATTACCAACTACAGAATCAAGCAAATAAATATCAATAAATTAAAATTACTTCAATTCGAAAATAAATTTATTCTCATAGTGTTTAAAATTACATGCAAAATATGTATTATATATTTTATGATTAAAGACATGTTCGGTTGGTTAGTAAAGTTTCAGTAATGGAATGGACTAATTTATTTATTTTTTTTACGAGGCTTAAAAAAAAAAAAAAAAAAAAGAGGGATTCATAAGTATGACGGGAACGAAAACTCAAATCGTTATTGCCTTTTCTTTCCCACTTTGAATTTCATAATGGGAAATGAAATTTTTATTACTATTATTTATTTCTTAAATAATTTAATTTAATTTTTATTATTTTTCTCAAAAGTATTACAAATTTAACTTATATGCATGAACTTGAAAATCATTGAATTTAAGGGTTTAAATTTTATTTCCTAAAGAGTTTGATATTTCTATTTATGAGCTAAAAATCCATTGAATTATTCCATATCATTAGAAATCTATAAGTTATGAATAAAAATATTTGTACAAAATCTTGTTGACAAAATTGTGTACTCACTCTCACAAAATTAGTTGATCCCACGTGAATTTAAAAACTGTTGGCTTGTGGTCCCCACCTCTATTGTGAATAGTGAGTAAGAGAGTTTGTAAAAAAAATTTTGTATATGTAGCATGATTCGTGAGTTATAGGGAACACCTAATTTCATGGAATCTTTTAAAATCTAATTTGAGGACTCTAGAATTATTCAGACTTCCAAAATCCTTCATATTTTTGAGTTGAAAATGCACTTTCTCATTAGCACTTATTTGGATTACCGTTTTCATTAGGAACTTCAAATTATGTTGAGACATTCAAACACGTATAAGCACGGTATGACTTACATTCGTGTCATGCCATTTTAATCCCAGTTAAACATGGGCTTAAATTATATTTAAAAAAAAAAAAGAAAAAAAAGAAAAGAACACATAGTACTCGTAGGTGGTGCCAAGGCAAGGGATAGCCCAACCACCTCATAATTATGATGTGCGTAAAGCCCATTGAACAGTTCCCTGGATAATCAGGGAATTGTGTGGCGACCTCCTATTGGAGGATGTTTGTTGCAGGATTGTTCAAGAGGCACGGCCCTTATGTTGCCCTATCGACCTCGCTGGCCAGTTGCCTAATTCAACCACGTAGATGCCCATTCTACCTATGATCATCGTTTTATGAAATCCACTTAGTGATGGCAACGGGGTGGGTTCGGGGTGGGTGCACAACTTTTTGCCCCGTTTGTTGTCCCGTTTAATTTTTTTTTTACTTTTCTTATATTTTGAAAGTTTCGAATTATGTTTTTATTAGAGAATAAAATACAAATTTAAAATGAGTTTTTAATTGATGAATTGTTTAGAAATAAAATTATAGGGAATGCCTAATTTTCATGGAATCTTTTAAAATCTAATTTAAGGACTCTAGATTTATGTAGACTTCCAAAATCCTTCGTATTTTTGAGTTGAAAATGCACTTCTTCGTTAGCACTTATTTGGATTACCGTTTTCATTAGGAACTTCAAATTATGTTGAGACATTCGAACACAAATAAGCACGGTATGACTTACATTTGTGTCATGCCAAGCTCGACCCATTTTAGTCTATGTTCAACAGGATTAAAATTTAGATTTTAATTTAAATTAAAGTTAAGGTTTAATTTTAATCATATAGTTCATGAAATTTACAACCTTTTAACCACACATTTCATCAACTTTTATCAAAATCTATTTTAATTCCAATTAAACATGGGTTTAATTTTATTTATTTATTATTATTTTTTTTGTAGGAACACATAGTACTCCTAGGTGGTGCCAAGGCAAGGGATAGCCCGACCACCTCATAATTATGATGTGAGTAAAGTCCATTGAACATTCTCCTGAATAATCAACAGATTGTGTGGCGTCCCTCTATTGGAGGGTGTATGCAGTAGAATTGTTCAAGAGGTACGGCCCTTATGATGCCCTATCGACCTCGCTGGCCCAGTTCCCTAATTCAGCCACGTAGATGCCCATCCTACCTATGATCATCGTTTTATGAAATCCACATTAAGGTTGTATGTGACAGATAAAGATTTGTCCACTTTGTCGTTATTTGTTAAGGTCAATATTTAGGAACCTAAATGGCGGCTGCCAACTAGCCTGAAAGCGATTGTCTTCTTTGTACCTCCATTTACGACTACTCCTTCAATGCGCCCCCAAGCCTTTTTTTATTTTTTATTTATTTTTCCGCCTCTCTAAATTTCTACAGAATGCGTTTAATGTTTTAATTTTTTAGAAAAGGAAAAAGCTAATAAACAGTGAGGATATGAAAGCTGAATAATCGGCAAATTAATAAATTGCAGAATAATTAAATTTCCACCGATAAAGTGGCTTTACATCTTTGGTCAAATACATATATATATCAATAATTAATGTGGAATAGCAACTACTATTAAGTGCATGACAAGATAGCAACGAATATTGTGACAAGAATTGATTAAACAATTTTCAGTTTCCTTTTCAATAAGCTCTTACTTAAGCAATTACGGAACGATTTAAGTTAGTCGAACAAAATCGGAGAACTATCATTTTAATTTTATTTTCACGCCGCTTTTCTTTATGACTATAATTTATTAAAAATAATATGCAAATAAATAATAAATGATTTCTTGACGCCTACTTCAACACGATACGTATGTAGGTTGAACAATACAAGAGTTGTGCATGCTAAAAATAGCCTAGAATTTACCAACCAAGACTGTTTGAAATCTATAGATTGGCAATCCACAGGCAATGCTAATGAAAATTGTAGAAAGGGCAAAAAAAAAAAAAAAAAAAAAAAAAAAAAAAAAAAAAAAAAAAAAAAAAAAAAAAAAAAAAAAAAAAAAAAAGAAGAAGGAAGAAGAAGAAATAATTGTGTGGTCTATATTAGCTTTTGATGTTCTAATTGAGAGTTAATTGTTTTAATTGTTACTGAATTTAGGTCCATATATTTGATTAGTCACTGAAATTTAAAATGTTGAGTTTTAGTCACTAAATTTAGGTTCATGTTTTCGATTGCTCACTGAAATTTAAAATATCGAGTTTTGACCATTGAACTATAAAAAATATTGTATATTCCTCACTGACCTTTGAAAAAAGTTGTGTATTACTAACTGAATTTTGAAAAATGTTGTACATTACTCAATGTAAACTCGATATTTTCCAATGTTCAACAGTTATGCTAGTGAGTAACGTACAACATATTTCAAAATTTAGTGGTCAAGACTCAATATTTTAAATTTCAGTGAGCAATTTAAGACATGAACCTAAATTTAGTGAGCAATCAAAGATATGAACTTAAGTTCAGTGAATAAAACTCGACATTTTAAATTTCAGTGACCAATCAAAGACATGAACTTAAGTTCAGCGACCATTGGAACAATTAACTCTCTAATTGATGATATTATTACTTTTCGTAGTACAATATCCAACGTTTAGTTGAAGACATTAATTTCTTAATGCTAAATTGTTGTGTAGTTTTATTTGATTCTTTATAACTCTTTTGATGGAAAATTAGAATTGCCATTTTATTAAAAGTTTTGTTGTTGACCAAGAAAAGGTAAATCAACGATCAAGAAAAAAAAATGAGGAAATTATAGTGATTAAAAAGTACGTCAAAGCTGATTTTGTAAAAGGCAAATCAACGGCAAAATACGAAATCAAACACTCGGAGCATGTTTGTCAAATTGTACTAACTGAATAAATAATCGATTTTAATGAATATATAATTAAAAAAATATTAAAAATTATAGTTTTCCTCGAACGAGTTAATAAAAATGAGCATGCTATATATACAGTAAAAACTTACACAAAATTTTGACAGAATGCCACTCAAACAAAAAATAATTTTTGCAGTCAATTATTTGCTGCCACCACGACATTTGTAAACAATTATGGCAAAAAATTCTGTATAAATAGATCGATTCTAAAAATAAAATTTGATGTGCATATAAGTATAAACTTTGACAAACATACACTCAAACTTATACAAATACAAATCTTCAGTCTCTCTCTCTATATATATAGCAATGGTCTCACTGTCACGTAAATTGATGATTATTTAAAGTTGAAGCGAATATTGTTAACAAAATTCTTGGTAATTGATAATAGGGTCGTGATTTACGAATATAGGGGTTGACACAACGATTAACATAGCACACACATGGAGAAGTCGGCATTATTTTATTCGCTCGGATCCACACCTCAGATGTGAGTGTGGTGACATCCTTTGTGTCAAACATTCTATTCGTTTGACATTTTCCTTGATAATATGCCCATGCCAACTTCACAATTGGACTCTTAAATATCGTGGCATCACTAAGATTCTGCCACGTATCTATAGTTGATGCCAGCGAACGACTTCTTCGAATTAAATCCGATATTAATAACTTCACCAAACTGTAATAAATCCACCGTACCATAACAATAAAACTCTCTCTCTCTCTCAAACAAGAAACAAGAAAATTTTGATGGGAGGTCACCTACTTGCGTGTTTATTTTATATTGGTCATCTAACTTTTACAGGTTTATATATCACTCAACTTATAGTTTCCATTAGACAATATGGTTTATGTGTTATCAAAATCAATGTTAATCTAACGTGGCTTGCCACTAATTTACTAGTTGATTTCTAGACAAATTAATGTCAAGCAAAAGTTAGATCAAACATTATGTTGATAACAGTGGGAGTGACTACTTGTTTTGGTCGCAATAATAGATAGAATGTTCAAATTGAAATAAAAATATAAATTGATTGACCTTTATAAACAAATGTATAAATTGGGTAACCTCCCAAGAAATAGAGATGAGCGAAACATGTTTTCTCACAAACCTAATCCAAGGATTATAAAAAGTTAATAATATTCACTTCACAGTTTTACAGGTTGCTCCACATTTTAAAAGAACTTAAGCTTCTTAAGGTTTGCTCATTTGTAGTGATAACGTCTTTAACTTTTTTCATCGAATTTTATTGCAATTATTATTTTTCCTAATTCCAAAACATACCAATCGAATGATTATACAAAACCATTCGTCAACAATAAGATGCCGAGTGATGGTAGGGATGACAAGTCTCAAATAGTGAACATAGTGGTGATAGGGATCATGGTCATCCTCTCGAATTTCTCAAACCTAAATTATTTTATCTTCTTTTCTTGATATAAATCATATTTAAAAAATAATTAATTAGTTAAATGAGTGTGGTGAATAATAATTTTAAAGTTTCTAAAAATTGTTGACGGTATGAAGATGATAATGGCCACCACCGTCCTCGATCAGTCCCATTAACATATCTATTTAATGGAGATTTGAGGATAGAATTTTATTAGCTATATTTGGGAAGAATTTATAAACAATTTAATTTATAAATAGATTAAAATAAGTTGTCGATAGTATTTGTTGGTCCATCAAAATGTGTGCTTAAAAATGAATTTTAGTGGTTTATAAATTTTGTAAAATGGAGTACAAAATAGCTAGGACATATGTACTATAATAAACAAAGTTTGAGGACCTTGAGTACAATTAAAATATAGTTCTGGATTAAATAGTAAACATCTATTAATTTGCCTATAAAATGCACTATTCCTCAGAAGTCTCGTGAATGCAAGAAAGCAAGCAGCGTACATATAGAGGGGAAATTTATCTGTTCAAATTCCTGAATTCTGATAATCATCAGTCATCACAAGCTTTTTTTTTTTTTTTTTTTATCAAATACTAAGAAATGGTGATGATTGATCAGTATATTTTGGGTGGATTTGTTGCTTCTCTATTTGGGTTTGTTTTGTTATATAACTTGAGGAGAAAGATAAAGCAGAACAAAGGTTCTAAGATTGTACGTAATGATCAATGCATTAAGACCTCCAATGAAGGAATTCGCCGGTCGGCGGTCGACGGCGGAAGTACTGACGTAATTATCGTCGGAGCTGGCGTCGCTGGGGCGGCTTTGGCTATTACACTTGGAAATGTAAGGAAATTCATCCTGATTTTCCGCAATTTTCTCGCCATTTTTCAGTCCATCAAATGTGCATGATTGCATGTTTTAATAAAAATATCTGGATGCTGAAGAAGGCTATTTCAATCTCTTATACTCTTTGATTTCCAGGGTTTCCTGTTTCCCGTTTATATTGAAAAATATTTGGCGTTTCTATGAAGAAAATTAAAGTGGTTAATTTGAATATTATGCGTATTGAAAATCATTGAAAAGTTATTTTCTGTGATGGATTCCGTAACTAGTAAATTTCTTCCTTCATTTTCCTGCATTTTCTCATTCAAAAATCAATTAAATCCTGTTATATTATTTTTTCTATTAGTTCAAATAGATACGTAGACAATAATTATATTGATGAGTTAACTGAATTCCATAAATCCTGTTATCGCTAGCTTTTGGCTCTAAATATTTTGTGCCTTAAGTCTTCTGGTTAAGATCCCTCTATTTTAAGCAAGCCAGAAACAAGCAAATTGTGTAACCATAAGCTAGTTCTCATCAACTAAGAAGATTCATGAAACTGAGAAGGCTCCTCGCTAGGATAATGTAGATTGTGCAAACCATCGTTGAACAGTAAATTTCTGTGACATTTGATTCCACAATGGTTTTGTGTATGCACTTTTACCATGTTGAATCACCTCATCTAAGAGAATAAGCTCTAAGAGAGGTAACACATTTATTTATTTAAATTTGATCTTCCATATGCCTCCTCAAGTGTACCCTAGATTCATTTTTCATATAGTCCACAATTTTCATAAATAGGTCATGGGAAATTGAATCCAGATCTTTGCCACGGTAGTACAATTTTTAAACTACGTCTTGTATGAACTAGATATTACGTTTAACAGCCTTATCTAACAACATTTAGAGATGAAATTATTTAAGTTTGGTCTTCAACACGACAACTGTATAACTTTCTATTGCTAACTTTAGGAGGGACGAAGAGTTCATGCTATAGAAAGAGACTTAACTGAGCCAGATCGGATAGTTGGTGAACTTCTACAGCCTGGAGGATATTTGAAGCTAATTGAGTTAGGTCTTGCAGGTAGGTGATACAGTTGACAAAATTAATTTCTGTCACAGGACTTCGAATTAGAGGAGTCTTTGTCAATTTAAGATGTTGACTTGATTTTATTGCTTGCATGTGATTGCAGATTGTTTGCAAGATATTGATGCTCAACAAATTTTTGGATATGCTCTTTACATGGATGGTAAAAACACTAAGCTGTCTTATCCGCTGGAGAAATTCAATTCAGATGTCTCAGGAAGAAGTTTTCATAATGGCCGTTTTATACAAAGGATGAGAGAAAAGGCTGCAACCCTTCCTAAGTAAAATTTCTTTCTTTCATTTTTTTATTTTTATTTATTTTTATTATTATTATTATTATTTTGGAGGTAGTTCTTCCATTCACCCGTATAGGAATTTTATGGTTGACATGAGTTGGTAGAGTTGACCACTGTATCAGATTGTTGTACTTTATTGACTTCAGTTCTGCTTTAGCATGAAAAAAATCAATTATAAGTGAACTTTTGACTCTTTCAAATATATACTAATTCACTAATTAGTGAAAATAATCTGATAATCCTTATAATTTCAAATTCTCATTTTCTAGAAGAAATTTTTTACTAATTCTCATCCACACTCTTTTCTGGTTTAGTGTGAGATTGGAACAAGGGACGGTAACATCCTTGCTTGAAGAAGAAGGGACAATCAAAGGAGTGCAGTACAAGACTAAGAATGGCGAGGAAATGACTGCAAGTGCTCCTCTCACCATTGTGTGCGATGGCTGTTTCTCAAACTTGCGGCGCTCTCTTTGTACTCCGAAGGTGAATACACCCAATTATGCTACAGTAACTATGAATATTTAGAGAACTTTGTGTGCTGTATTGGACATAATATAGACCATTCAAAGTTTTTTCAATTGTTACTTGTTAATCATATATAGTATTTCATTTTTCTTTAAAGTTCCTTAGTTTTGCCTGAATTGACCAGGCATGTTTTATTGGATTATTGCACTTTATCTATTCTTCTATATTAGCCCCCATGCAAAAGTCTATGTTAAATGTAGGTGGATGTCCCCTCATGTTTTGTTGGTTTGATCCTGGAAAATTGTGATCTCCCATTTGCAAACCACGGGCATGTTGTTCTTGCGGACCCTTCGCCTATCTTATTTTATCCCATCAGCAGCACTGAAGTTCGTTGCTTGGTTGATGTCCCGGGACAGAAGGTGCCTTCCATTGCTAATGGTGAAATGGGCACATATTTGAAGACTGTGGTGGCTCCTCAGGTACTTTTAGTTTGCTCATTGGAGGACTAACATTTCTTCTGCTTATTTTCATTTACTTATTTCTGTTGCATATATTGCTCATTCTGATTGAACAATACATCCGTTTTTTCAGATTCCTTCTCAGCTCTATGATGCATTTATAGCAGCAATTGACAAAGGAAAAATAAAAACAATGCCAAACAGAAGTATGCCAGCAAATCCTCTTCCCACTCCGGGTGCCCTTCTAATGGGAGATGCATTCAACATGCGGCATCCTTTAACCGGTGGAGGAATGACTGTGGCTCTATCAGATATTGTTGTTATCCGAGATCTTCTTCGACCTATACATGATCTTAATGATGCTACAACCCTATCCAAGTATCTTGAATCGTTCTATACCCTTAGAAAGGTTTGTTATAGATCGAACATTTACATTTTTCTAAATGTCCTATTAAGACAGTGCTGAAAGAATACGTCGTAAATTTAAGATTTTTGGGGCTTTTAACTTGAGAATTTGAAATTTTTTTCTTTTGTATGCAGCCTGTAGCATCTACTATAAATACACTGGCTGGTGCACTTTACAAAGTATTTTGTGCATCATCAGATCAGGCAAGGAAAGAAATGCGTGAAGCGTGTTTTGACTACTTAAGCCTTGGAGGCATTTTCTCTAATGGCCCTGTGTCTTTACTCTCTGGTCTAAATCCGCGCCCTTTGAGTCTTGTGCTCCATTTCTTTGCTGTGGCTGTCTATGGTGTTGGCCGCTTATTTCTTCCATTTCCTACACCAAAACGGATTTGGTTAGGGGCTAGATTGCTTTCGGTGAGTATCTTCACCTCGTGGCTATCAATTAACAATGATACTAAAATTTTCTTCTATTCGACTGTGACTGTACCAATACTTGACAATGGGTGTGTTTGTCACCCATTATTTGGGAAGAATGTTTTATAGAGTAGTGATTGATGTTGAAATGTGTGGTTAATAAAGAATGAAAAGTTTTTGATTTACGTATAATATTATTTTAATAAAGAATGTGTGGTTGAAAATGAGTACAGTAGAAAAAAATATATGAGAAAATGGATGACAAACAGGGGGAATATTAAGGAAGAAAAAAAGTTTAAAATCATGTTCATCGTAAAGTCTGTATATATATATATATATATATATATATATATATATATATTTCATGTGTAACTAACAGATGTATTTTCTCTTTACAGGGGGCATCCAGAATTATTTTTCCTATTATGAATGCCGAGGGATTTAGACAAATGTTCTTTCCTGCTTCTGTTCCAGCCTACTACAGATCTCCCCCTGTTAATTAACATATTCATTAAACTCTGTTCTTCATCAGTTTTTTTCTTTTCCTTTAGTGTGTGTGTCTGTGTGTATTGGTGTGGTCCTTCCCCTAAGAGAGTAAAGAGAAGTCACCATTAGCTTGAGAAAGAGAATATTGTAAAGAATTTTTAATACATGCCTAAGTAAATTTTCCATCTCATCTTGTAAGATATGACATTTGATACTGTGAGATTCGAACCATGGTAGTTTGCTTCCAGAATTTTATTATACTGTGAAGTCGTGTTTTGTGGAAATGCAACTCTATTAAATTGGCACTTTCAACTGGATGGGGACACGTGGCTGAACCATGGCTGTTGGATTGAATCTGGAACCTTCCATTATAACGTGCCGTTTCACTTGGCACTTTGATTACACTCCATCACGAGTTTTTTACTCTTGGTCTTTAAGAGAGAGAGAAAACCCCTCGTCTGGTTAGGGTTTGTTCTTCTCGATTCTGTGGCTCAAATCTCTGATTTGAGGTGTTAAATGTGAAAGTCTTAGTGATTTCGTTTGGATATTCTGAGTGATTATCTGTAATGGTTTGTGTCCTCTTCTGTTGTGATGTTTTGAGAGGGATGCAGTGAAGTTTCTTCGTGATTCTTCAAGGTTTTGAGTCGATCTTGAGAGATAAGTATCTTTGCTTCATCTCAGTGTATTTGTTGAACTCTTGTAACCCTTCGTTGCCATTTTTGGCTATTATAGTGCAACCGAGCGTAATCCAACTTGTTGGATGCTCAACGGGGGATGTAGGCATTGGATGTGGTCACCGAACCTCCGGGGCTTAGGTTGAAAGAAATTTTGTGTTGATTCTTTAATTTTTTGAACAGTTTACTTTTGGTTGATTTCAATTTCTTGCTTCTCGGTTTAATATTGTGTGACCTTTGCCTTACAGTGGTATCAGAGCTTTACTGAGGAGCAAGATACTCGGATCTTTGAGAGAAAGGTGGATCTTCGATAGATCTTAAATTTTTGAAACTGCTGAAAAGTAGATTTAAACTCCCTCGAGTCATTGAACTCGCTGGGTGAGACCTTTTCAATTAACTGTATATTACATTTGAGAAATTTATGTTTCTTGAACTTTCCCTGATTTTTCAGTACACCGTTGAAACCCTCTTGAAACTAATCTTTGTCCAGTGGCTCCTGCAAGGCCACTGGAATCTGAGATAAATCAAGTACGGGTGTGTAACTTGGGAGAATCTTGCTGGAGAGATCTGTGAAACCTTATAATCTGATCTTATTAATTGGTTTTCTGTTGATTGATTAAGCCTGCTCTCTCTGTTGATATTTTTTGATTGCTGAAATCCTGTATTACTTTGTGATTTACTGTGATTTCAAAGTTGGCAATTTAGGGTTTCTGTTTACAACTGTTCTGATTTTTTGCTGTTTGTAATAACTTGCATGCATTATGGCTACTGTAAAATTTGAAGTGTGTCAATTTGATGGCAAAATTGATTTTGATATGTGGATTCAGAAAATGAAAGCCATTTTGATGCAAATGAAATGTGCTAAGGCATTAGATGATTCAT